AAATAATAATTTGGGAACATAAAAAACGAATGAACTTTAAAAAAAATATGGGAACACTCTTTCAAATTCAGAACTATTGTAAATGTTGAATACTATATAAATTTTGTATACATTTTTTAAAAATTCATTAACCATTTACCTTTCAGGAAATATAATTGGCCGTGCCTTGTTTGCAAATATGAAGGTGACTTGACGGAAGAGGGCAAATTTCAGCAGTCTTGAAAAATAGATATAAATGTGAGTAATGACATCAAGTTAGGGGAGCAATCGAATTATCATTTCTTTTAAATTCCAGAATTTTTTTACAAATTCAGATTTTTTTTTACTTCGTGAACATTTTTTGAAATCTAGGAACATTTCTAAATAAAAAAACAAATTTGCGTACATTTTTCAAACTCACAACAATTTGAAATCCCATTTTTTTCAAATTTTGGAATTTTATATTGAACTAATGAACATTTTTCAAATCACCAATATTTTTCAAATTGTTAATATTTTTTAATTAGCAAAGTTTCTAGATTCACACACATTTTGGTGAATTCGTGAATACTTTGTGAGATTCAAAAATAATAATTTGGGAACATAAAAAAGAATGAATTTTAAAAAAATATGGGAACATATTTTAAAATTCATAAATATTGTAAATGTTGAATACTATATAAATTTTGTATACATTTTTTTAAAATTCATTACCCGTTTACCTTTTAGGAAATATAATTGGCGGTGCCTTGTTTGCAAATATGAATATCGCAAATTCAGAAAAAAAAATCATGGATTTGAAAAAAAAATCATGTATTTGAAAACAGGTTAATGAATTTTAAAATATGTGCATGAATTCAAAAAAAGTTCATGGATTTGAATTTTTCTTGTGGTTTCCAACAAATATTCATAGATTTAGAAATGTTCAAGATTTGAAAAAAAATTGTGGATTTGAAAAAAAGTACTCAAATTAACAAATGATTTGGAAAACAATTATGGATTTAAAAACTGTTCACTATTTTTAAAAATGTTTTTGGTTTTCCAAATGTTTACAGATTTGGAAAAGGTTTCAGGATATATAAAATGCTAACAAATTTGAAAGTGTTTGCAATATTAGAAAAAACAAATTTATAAAAAAATCATTGATTCAAAATGAAAAAGTTAAAAAAAACAAACAAGAAAAAGATAAATAAATAAGAACAGGAAATAAAACTTAAAAGGAAAAAAGAGAAAAACACGGAAACCATCGAAACCGAACCAAAAGCGGCAAAAGAAGGAACCGAAGAAAGACTAGCGAGAAACTCGGTGAGAGGATAGATAATGGGCCGCCGTCCACTTGGATCTTTTGTAGAGGGTGGGTTGCGCCCTGTACCGATGCGGTGCCACATAGGATTTGACAATAAAAACGCAACTAACTATCTCGCTGAACCTTTAATGGGCCAGCCCACTTAATGCCATCGCGGGGG